GGACGTTAGCTTGGGACCACCAAACCGACGCAAGCTCGGAAAGGTGTGAGGACCACGTGAGAGCTACCGAGGCAGGGGCAGACGGACAGGAATTTGATTATATTGAGCTCTACATACTGGCAACAGAGGCCACCTTGGGAGCATCGTCTCGTGGTTACTCTACTTTGTTTCCCCTTGTCTATCCAATCAAGCTGTACCCGCAGAGGCACACGAACAGAGATTGACTGCAAACAAAACGCACCTTGAGGAAGCTACTGACGTTACTGACCTCACCGTATTGTTTGAGAACATACTCAATGGGTTTGCTGGCCTCGTCGTGCAGTGCGGCGACCTCTTCCAGGCCTTCTGGGACCTCATCATCATCATCATCGTCATCTCCATCCTCCTCGGGTCCTTCCGCCCGTTCTGCGGGTTCGGCTCCCTCACCCTCGGAATTCATTATACTCCACAGTTTCGATTTGACCTAGTAACAGGCAGTAGAAAGGCAGGGTAATATGCAACGGAACTGTTGATAAAACCAAAGCCGCGTGTACGACAGACACAACCAAAAAATGTACATGACTCTGAAGGCACCAGTGGCTGACAATGTTAAAATAAACTAGAGCAGTTTTTGACATTTAAAAAGCCGTAGTGGTGACGGCCTCGAAAACTCCGGAGCAGTACAAGCCCACATTAGTGAATCTTACAGTCAAAGGTGTATACTGAAGCACAAATTTCTGGAACCTCGGAAAGACGGGCTCTGCCTGAGGACTGCCCGGCTTGCGCAAGGCCAATCGTGACATAAAGAGACTTCAGGATCTAGCGAGTAAGGGACTAGGGACTATGCAGAGGCCATAAAGTCAAACACGACGGGGCACCAACAAGGTACTGCATGACGAAGACTATTCACCCTGCCATCTACCTTCTACTGTTGATAAGGACCTACCTATAGGCCAGACTAGGTGGGTACCTTAACCTTATCTCTGTGAATTTCCACCAATAATCCAACGTTTCTAGAGTTGGCTAGTCGAAAAAGACCTCAAGAACATAAACGGATTCATGTGGTAATGAATAGAGAGCTTCGAGTGCCTGGGGGAAGGCATAAGTATACCCGCACCCATATTTTATTGAAGAACTGCGGACCGAAATGCGTTTCGTTGTTAGTTAAGGCCTTCCCATACATTGTGAAAATTGGCTACTAACGGTAGCATTAAAAAACTTGGCTTTGCTAAAATTCGAAGTATAAGACTTTCAAAACTAGACCTAGATTTCAGTGGAAATTTAAAAAAACGATACAAGCTGAAAATCCACCTCAAAGACAGATTAAGCAAGGTTGCTAAGCCTATAATCACTCAAAGATAACCGACAGCCTAAATGGATTACGTCAGCATTTTCCCACAAATGTTAAGGTGAAAAAGCATACACGAAGATGCAGCCATTCGAACGACTTCAATGAAACCAGCTGAACAACAGCCTAGTTATCGTCGTCGGTCAATCACACACCAAGTCCATAAGAAACGAAATGATATGTTAAACTTAGTCTATTAGATTACTTAAAACAGTGGGCGCGACGGTGACTCCAGTCCTTTTTGTCACTAAAGTGAATGGGAAAATGGTACACAGGACTGCCACTGGATCTGGGGCTGCAAATTGCGAAGGCGGTGCTACAGGAACACGTGATAACAAATTATCGTCTGATTTTGTTGCGATGCCTAGACTTTTATCGAGACTTTATCGCTCAGAATAGCCTGTCTATCACTTCTGCAGCCAACGATAATAACGCAGGCCTTGAGACCATTCGCTAATTAGTCTATAACCAGCTGAGGACAGCGCGCGTATCTAACTCATATGTCTATCACTGGTAGTATCTGGTTCAATACAAGCTGAGATGTCAACATGGGCTCCTAGACTTCAGATTTTGGCAGATTAAAGAAGTGTGTGGCGGAGAGTCGCACCCAACTGGTGCCGTTTACGGGCGCAGCGAAAAACCGCATACTTAATTGATTCTAGAGCAGCACACCCATGTACAAACATAAGGAAACCGTAAATAATGTTTGTGATATCAGGGGTGCGGCGAAGACGCAGTTGACCGGCGTTGAGAAGGTTATTAAATACAAAAAATCCCATCGTAAAAGAATACTTTTGGTTGCTTCGCACTGTGCCCTAGAGAAAAACGCATGCCCGGGGAAACGGAGCGCTTTTAGACGAAGTACAGAAAAATGAGAATATACTTCGAGGGAAAAATCTGCGATATATAAAACGCTTAATAGGCAATTTTTCAAATTAAAACCACATTCAAGTGGGGTGTCTCGAACCACTGCCATCAGCCTAAACTTTTAACAATCAAAGTAATAGTGGCAGTCATTTAAGATAATCTAAAAGCACTTGTACCCAATGGTAGATAGTAGGGCAATAGGACAAAACAGAGCATCCTTGAGAACAGAGTGAGGGTTGAGAGAAGTATAGCAAAAGCAGCTCACCTCTGGAGAGACAAGGGTGCAGTCGAAGTCGACAAATGTATTTTTAAGTAGGGCGGTTGGATTAACGGGTTCTTCACTATAGACAGACTGTTCCCGAAGGAAGTCAGGCAGGTGGGCTGCGCAGTACTTGGCCACTTCAGCACCACCATGTCCGTCGTAAACCGCAAAGTAGGCAGCTTTGCGTTTCGGATCAAATTCCAACAGACAGTTGTGAGCATCCTATAAGAGCAGAAGGAAATCTAACAAAAACGAATGTCATGCAACCAACTATTAACAAAATGGGATCCAGTTCGCGCACCAAAAGAACACCGAAAATGTCGTATGATACATAACAATGATCCTACCATCAAAGGAAGCCATTTAAATTGAATATGTAAGTTAAAAAAACTCAGCATCAAAGTTTAGTCAGGTATAATCTTACAGACAACCCAATTGCTCAAGAGTGCGACAGGAATAGCCACCGAAAAAATGTGCTGACAGTAGGAATGGCGTGGTTTGACGTAAGACTCTTCACCATTTGCCTTGATAACTTATTCCAGTTAAATACTTATTGTTGCGGTTCCGGTGGTCATTACAACTCCTCGAGAACAGGTTAGAATGTAAGATTTTGCATACTACACCGGGCACGATATAGCGGTATATAAAGACGGAAGCTGAAGCTTCGGAGAAACTAGAGAGCAAAAACTTGATGGATTTGAATAGCATCGGAAAGGGTGACATAATGCATTTCAAGCGAACATCACCACAGTTCAAGTCTTCGTGGCTTAATATAAGCTTATAACGAACGAACCGTTCAAGGGGCCATCTAAATTCGAATAAAACATCCGCGAAAATTTCATCTCTAATAACCCGACGATGCGTTCAACACAAGGGACAAGTACCAACTAGATACGGCTATTTGGATAAAGATACATTTGACATCCTAAGCAATCTGATAAAGGAAATCTCTTAAACCTGCTTTCTGTCGTTCTGAGGGTCGTTGAACAGCAAAATATTTTTACAAAACCAAGGAACTGTCATTTAAAATACGACGTCAATACTGATTAACAGTCACATGGCAGAAGCGATGCAGGTGCAGAAACAACCTGCTGGAGGCGCAGAAAAAGGCAGGGCTTTGCTCGACAGGACGCGTTCAGTTCAGTTCAGTTTTATTAGGGAAATATAGGTAAATACCTTCGAACTCCCTCTTTTTACAAAGCTATGCTGCAGAACATGTGGCGTTGACCGTAATGGAACTGCGTTAGGGGAGCAGACAGTTGTTTTGACAAATGCAAGTACGTGATTGTTTGAAGGCAATAATTACTGTCCATCCTTGGAATCACCAGGGTTTTCGTAAATACGACAATATTAGTTCAGCAAGTGATAAAACAGCTTGAAATTGAAAAGTATGTGCTCCAACACTTTGAGTTGCTAAGTACGTTTAATGACGGCCAACTAGTCTGAATTGCCTGTCCCTGTCTCCCTTGTCTATGTACGTAATCTTAGTCTCCGGCGAAGTTCTGTACAGGTCAGGCGAAAGCCCCTTTACTATAGTAATCTGTAAGCGCAATACACAAGCCCTGAGATGTAGGTCCAGTACTTGTTCAACAAGACATTATATGCAAGAGATAAGGTGTCGGTCGGTCGACTATGACAGTATTTAGGAAACAAGGTGTAGGTACTTAGAGCATACAAAGCGGCGTAACTTACCTCCTGAAATCTTCGCCAGCCTTGCATTGAAGCAGCTCCATAGGAAAGATAAGAATTTGCCCCGGAAGTCGTCTCCTTCTCTGTTTTCGGACGCGACAGATAAGCCCCCATGTCTTCGGCAACTTTTCAAAAGTCTCTGTAAACTCACTTACTTAAACAAACGTCGTAATCCTCACTCAAAATTAAGCAAGTAAAACAGGAATTCTATATCAATAAACATTCAACTTGATTTATTCATATGCTTTTAAAGGTCAAAAATGCCAAAAATGCGGTCCTCGAAAGACGTTTTTGGTTTCGAAGTTGTGGGATTAGTCCCCGTTCATGAAGCAGACGTTAGGCACTTAAGGTCAGGTAGGGGTTTATAATTTGTGTAGCGGCCGAGCTGACTGGGGGTAGGAGATCGAAGGTATACTCCTCA